ATGCACCCAGATGGTACAATTGATGGGACCAAGGATGAAAACAGTGACTACAGTAAGAAAAATTAGCCTGTTTTGCAACCTAATTACTATCAAATACATCACCTAGTGGGTCTCGCTTGTGCAGCTTTATCTTTTAAAAGATCAAATCAGGAAGAAGCCAGCTGTTTTCTGCACAATTTTCTATCTATCCTTCCCCTTTAAATCTTGTCTGTATAATTTCATATGTTTCCTCTCCGATCTTCTTCCCTCCCACCCCGATTCTGTAACTGCCATCTGGGTGGGGTGGAGAATAAAACCCATGATTTGAATTGCTGCCAGAAGAGAAAGGAGATTATATTTATACACATGCCACGTGGGTAAAGGATACGGGGAATTCTCTCTCCAAGGAGAAGAGGAGAAAATTGTTTTCACTATTTTACTCTGAAAAATTCAGCAAGCATCAGGAATTTCCAGGCTGGAGAAAACCAGCTGTTCACTAAAGTATAGTGCTTTGAGGCTTATGTCAAGACTGAGGGTGTCAAATGGCCTTTCCAAAAGACACCATCTTCCAGAATCCTGTTCAAAAGGGGTTGGGTTCATGCTGTCCAACGAAGGACAGCAAAGTGAGGCAGAACCACATAGGCTTATAGATGATGCTTATTTGTAGGGGCCGTATTGGTTTGAACAAATGCAAAGCATTTATCAATATTTCTTTTTCAAAAGAAGTAGTTTTGTCATTAAAGCTCCTCAAAAGGTTAAAAAGATGCAGAATATTTTCTACAGCATCTCTTCATTTCGTAGTCCTCAGATCGATGTTTCTGAGAGAGCAGTAGTAAGCTCAGGTCTTTGGTGCCACAAACTGCATCGAGTAGGAGTCAAGTCTTGATTTGGGTCGTCCTATGTTGGTTTGAAACCCACTGTGCCACTGCTGAAGGGGCATCATATCTGACGTGTCCAGCATGGAAGGTGTCTTCCCAGTCGTTACTAGAGATGAAGAGAAGTTATCTGTGTGGTAGGATTGATGGAAGCAACTTTGTGTACTTTGTAGAAGGTGGAACCTACTTAATTTTGGGACAAATCTTCTATCTCAAAGAAGCTTTTAGCTGGATTGAAGGTATCATTCCCTCAGGAAGGCAGGGCTTGGGCTGCAGGTGCGAGGTGTCTGTAATAGTGCAGGGCATGGATGTTGTCCTGTGAAGGTGTGCTTGGACAAGGGTGCAGGGTGGCTGCAGCCCCACATCCATGGTACTTGCATCATGCCCAAGAAGCTGGCAGGGTGCTGTGGGGGGAATGTTGTGTGTGGTGGGGCTGCTCTGCTGCAGCCAGCTCAGAGCTGGGGTCCATGTGCAAAGCAGTGCACAAGAGAGGAGCTTTGAGAAGATGGCAACTAGAATTGCGGGAATCTGGCAAAGTCCTCGTGAAATGACCCAAGAAGTCATTTCACCAGAAACCTGTCATGTAGCAGGGGCAAGTGTCAGGTTTTAGTCACCTTTCTCATATGCTGGTGTTGAACAAACAAAATGCCACATATTGCAATGACACAGCTTCTGATTTACATTGGAGCAGGAGAAGCTGTAGCTATTGCCATACACACTTTTACTGCTTGAGAGACTGAGCCGGTCTCTTCCTACAAGAAAGAGTCTGTCCTTGTGATTTTCTCAGGCGGACACCAACATGTACGATGAGTTCAGTGGGCTTTAGTGGATGAGTAATGACCCAGTGCTGCGTTGTATTAGCTGCTTTTTCTGAAAGAAAGAAGACATAGGGTGTTCTCAATCTGCAGAAAATCCCATTGGAGGTCTATTTGTCAACGACATGGGAAGAGCTGCTATAGATGACAGGGATTCATTACCCTCATCTATCAGTGAGGACCGAACAACAAAGTAATGGGCTTAAATGGAAGCAGTGATGAATTTAGGTAAACATCAGAGGAGAATAAAGTATAAGAGTAGTTCTGCAATATTTTGGGCTGGCAGGGGACATCAGGGAAGCTGCCTCTGGCTGCACTTCGGTAGGTGCAGTGGAACCCCCCCAAATCTCCATGACTGAAGTTGGGCCCCAATTGCCCAAACAGCTCTTATGTATCCCATTAAAAATGTTATAGATCAGTTTGGCAAGGTGCTGAGTACTTGGGAGCCACTCCCACCCAGTCGTCTTAATTGGAAATAGATGGGCTAAAGGGCACTTCTGGAGTGTAAGTTTCTCTGGTGAGATGGCTGCCTTGCCTTGGCAGCTTGGTGGCACAGTGGGCATCTAGCTGCTGTGCCAAACCACTTGCTCAGAGTCATGGGCTATGTTGGAAAGTCCAGTGAAGTTTTTGTGAAAAGATTGACACCAAAGAGTTGCCCATCCCATGATCTCGGGGGATATCAAAAGAGAAGAAAACCAACTTGATAACATTTGGCTTCTGAAAATGAAATTGAGAATGTGCATTATTATTTAGTTTTGTTTAATTACTCTCCTTTATAAATTTTCAGTTTGGGTCAACATTTATATTTATATGAAGCTTCCATTTACAGCTTCAAAACAAAAATCATGATTTTCACTTTGGGAATGCCAAAATAAGGCATACCAACTATTTTTCCTTTTCTGTTCCTCCAAACATAACAATTTTTGACTACAAAAGCTAAAACTCACTTGTCCAAGTGAACAGATTACAGGTTTACTGGTTTACTTGACTGATATTTTCTGGTTTAAAGTATTTCTCCAGTAGATTCCTGACCAGTCAGCAGGATGTGCAGTATTTCTGTGCAAGGGCAAAACTAATCAAAGAGTAGATAAATAATATTTCCCTATCTCTGGAGAGGAGTTTGCCGTTCTCTGCCAGTGGCTGTGAGTTAACAATCTCAGTGGCCACAACAGGATCCTTCCCACCCTAGATGACCATCTATTCTCCATCTTAGCATAGCTGAATAGGCAGTGAACACCATGTTCCATACATTACTTTGTGTTCTGTAGCCACACACTGATTATTCAAATTAGCATTATGAAAGGAAGCTTAATTTTCATGAAATAATGCATTAGGTTGGCTTACTCTGGAAAAGTAAATGTTTGAAATGAGACACAACATGTCCCTCAGATACGTCTGATGCAATTAAAAGTTCTAATAAAAATCCAGTTATTTATATAAGTCGAACTGCTAATATTTAAGCAATTTTTCAATTAATTATCTGGTGCCCATTTTGTGTGTTCTTGAGAGGCTGATGGCATTTATTTTCCACCTCCTCTCACTTAAAGAAAAAAACCCAGAAGCCAAGTTCTAATGGCATTTGAATGGGCATCCAGCCAACTTCCTGTGAAACAGTGCTTGGGACATCTGTTCCTTATACCATGCAGTTAAAGGCACACCATCTTAATGCAAGCAAGAAGATAGATTCTCTGCCTACTTGCATTGGGATACAGGAAGAATTTTTTAATCGGAGCCTTGTTTCATGGTGTATGAGGCCTTTTGTTCTTAATAGATGAACCTAAATTTGGGACAGTATTTTCTTCTTACAACTACGATGATTTCAAATGGTTATTCAGGGCTGACTGTTGCTGTCAGTATTGCATCATTATTGCTCTTTCCTGGGCTGAGCAGCATAATGCCCCTTTTTTGTGACAGCAACTGGGCTTCTTCGTTTGACAGCAT